CCTTGCCTTCACTAAGATTACACCTTGTGTTACTCACCATCTGTTAGCCAAAATGTGGTAAGAACATAAGGTTTTTCTAGCAGAGCTAGGCCAAAGGGAGAGAAGCACACAACTCCTTTTGCATCTCAGCGGGATGTCAGGTAGGGGCCGTGTTGCTTCCTTGGAAAACTGAAGCCCTGGCTCCTTGGTACCATACCGCTGGTCTCATTTCCAGGACACCAGCAGTGTACCTGTACTTAAATAATCTTGACGTACAGTTTGTTCGATGGCCTATATTAGCTTTTGCCTTCCCTTCCCCTTTCTGAGTTAGTGGCGATCACTGAAGCACCCGTTAATAAGAGGAACCCCATATTTTGGGGGGCAGAATACAAGCGATGTTTTACCTTCTGACAATAATCAAGACATTATTTTTTGTCTTTATTTGGGATGGCAACAGTTTGCAAGTCTCGGGTTGGTTTATATAGACACACACTGAACAGGAAACTCTTTGCTGCCTCGCAAGAATTCCTCGAGTCCATCTGAAATGTAGTGAAGAGCTATATTTGCCCTCTAAACTTCCTAGAAACATGGGAGTCCTCTCCCATAGGAGCCTTTCTCCCCCTGACAAGGGGTAGAGATGAACAGAGAGCATTTTAAAAAATGTTTTTAAATGAGCTATCTTTAGTGGGGCCTCTAATTTGGCCCCGGAGATGACCGTTTCCTTAGAAATCCCCTCCTCACATCAATGAGCAAAATTCCCTTTTCTCCAGCAGCATCCCCGTCATTAACTCTGTTGTACCGGATAAGACCAAAGGGTGTTGGGCCGTGACACACCACAAAGGAATGAAATTCAAGCTTTCACGTGGGTCCCCACGGTATGTGAGGGGGTGGCCGATCAGCTCCCTTTTTTTTTATCCATGATCAGATCGAGCAAACTCGAGTTTTTTCTGCAGGCTGCCTGGAGGTTGCTTAGGGACCCCTGTACCTGCATGTCTGGCATCGGTTTTAATGATTTATTTTTTTCTCTCCCCTCTTGTTCCTTTCCCACGTGTAGCTTTCTGGCATTTCCTTTAGTCTAAAACAAGGCAGGACATTGCTAGCCTGCCTCTCCCTGCTAACTACTCCGTATCTTGTGTCAGGATGTGCTGTCATTTTATCCGAGAACAAAGCTGCCCTGGAAAAGCACGGTGCCTGCAATCAGGTCATCGGTGTTTATTGCGGGTTATCGGTAACTCCTGCGTGCCTGAGCGGCAGCTCGCAGCGTGGAAAGCAACGGCTTGGGAGCCGCTTGATTCTGCCCGCTGGAAACACTCTGTGGCCAGAAAACGGAAAACTTTTCAGGACTTTCACTTGGGATTTTCCTCTCATTACATTGCCGAGCGAGGCAGAGTGGAAAGGTTAGCTGGGAACCCTGACTTCTGACTCCCTCCTGCTCGGCGCGTGGAGGATCCTATACTTCTGCCATGGTCTTTGCTGCGTAATGGGAATGCAGCTTCATTTGCATGGTGGCCGGGAAAGATTCAAGACCGCCGCCACCAAAGGTAGAAAGCAAGAGAGTGCCAATAAGCAGCAGGCGAGGCGGGGAAGAGCATCACCTCGCTGAACCGGGAGCTTGTTATTGCTGCCTGTCCCCTGTCTTCTCGTTGACACTAAGACGAGAGACTGCAGCTGGGGACAAAGCTCCCTAGTCACCTCTCAAAGGCACCTGTCTCTTGACTTCTCCGTGATAACAAGCTTAAAGAGCAGCCCTTCGCGTAGGAGCTGTGTGGAGATTTGGGCAGCCTAAACCATTTAAATACCCAAACTGAGATCGGAGTCAATCAAAGCTTTGCCTGCTTGACAGCAAAGGGAGAGTCTTGCATTTATTCACCGGTGCAGGCAGCAGCAGAGCAAGCTTCCTCGCCGGGACGTGTGATGCACCACGCTGGGTCAGAGGCATTTGGTCCTTGGCCTCCAAGCCTAGGGACAGACATTGAACATAAACCAGTTCAAGGGTGATTCATAAATTCATAGACTGTAGAGTCGGAAGGGACCACAAAGGATCATTGTGTCCGACCCGCTGCCCCTGGTTTAAACCTGTAACAACAGTGCACATAAACCAGTGTGAAAATTAGCTGAAACTGGTTTGAGATAAACCTGGTTGAATGTAGTTATCAGGCTTAACTGATTTGGGTCAAACCGATTGTTGCAAAGTCTGTGCCAGACCCCTGGCTTTCCCCAGTGATGCAGGGTTTCTCGCACTGGTGTGATGGCATCGGTGCAAGCTCCTCGCACAGGAGCGCAGTCTTGGTGCATATCGGTTTGCACCATGACCTCTCCCCGCTACCCCACATTAGTGCAAGTTACGGATTGCACTGGCGCCATGCGTCTGTGCTGGGGGGGATTGTACTGGCTAACCATGCTTAGGTAGCCACAGTGATGACCAACACCATGGGTAGCAAAGCCTATTGGTAGGCAGACTGGGCTCATAGGCAGTGCTGGCCTAATGGCCAGCATAACCATCGCAGAGTCAGTTTTGGCTCTGATATGTGCAAGTCTGAGCCAGCTTTTCTCTGCATCTTTCTTTCCCCCTGTGTAAAATCAGGCGCAGGACACTTGCCCAGCTCTGCAGAGTGTGCTAAGATCTCAGAAAAAAACATTGGGTCCAAGTTGAGTGAAAAACCTTGTGTGCTGCAGTTGCTAGAAGCATTATCCCCAGCCTTTGCTGCTAGTGCTTGTTGTTTTTTGGGGATGTGCCTCTGGGCTGGACCTCACTACCTGGCCTGCTGCTGCCTTCTCTCCTTTCTTTTTCTTCAGCCTTATCCTACACTTAATCTTGGATTGCTCCAAACAGGTTTACACTGAGCAAAGGGGCAGTGGGCAGCTCCTGGCTGGTGGGGCTGACGTTTTAGCGCGGTGGGCTGACGGGGCTGGCTGGTCCAAAGAGGCGAGCCCCAAGCTGCCGGGACAAGCCCGTCCTGCTCCTGGGTGTCACGTTAAGGTCGTGGAGCACTTCACTTCTGGCATTGCTTCGCTGCCAGTTAGTACCTGGGGTTGTGCGTGTTGACAGCTGCAGTTGAATTAGGGACTCATTCCAGAGAGTCGTTTTGTTGGACTCTAGGGCCTGTCTGTTTTGAGAGAGGGGCCAGCATCTGTCATGGACATCAATGTAACATGCACAGGAGTCGTGGGGAGCCAGTTCACATTAAAAAAACCCAGTGGCCAGGCTCGAACATGTTGCCTTCATGAGACACCTCCTGGCAGGTGGTTTGCTTTGGGAATCTAGCTACTAGCTCCTTTTGTTTGCCGTAAAACCCAAGCAGTTACATGCATTTTGTCCTCCCGAGGCCCCTGGATGGGAGGGACGCAGGGATCGTCTCCAGTTTGAGGCACGGAAAAGCTAAGTGACTTGACCAAGGTCACCCAAGCGGTCTGTGGTTGACCTGCATCTCCCAGTCCCAGCCCCTAACCATTTCTTTCCTAGTCGAGCTGCTGGGCTGTTTGCACCTGGAGTGCCAGGCTTCATCTTGAGCCAGCAGAAGGAGCGCTGGCTCCTGCGCACCCGCGGCTTCTCCTCGTTCGGCTTTTGTGAAACGATTTGCAGCCAGCACGCTGTGCCACAACCGCGGTGGTCGCGAAAGGGGACCTTTGCTATTGCTACCGAACCCACTACTGCATGTTCAGCTTGTTCTGCCGCTGCAATAGCCCGAGCAGGGCTGCACCAGGTAGCTTTCAGCAAGGAGACCTGCCGAGCCCTTGCAGTCCCGCTCTCGGAGGTGAGCCTGTGTCGCCCAGATGAGATCCCGTCTCCTTTGCGGAGGCTTTGGCGTGAGGGGGTCTTGACAAGGTGTGGGATGATTTCAGCAGCTCGAGGTTGTGTTGGTTTTCATTAAGTGTTCGGTGAGCGAGACCACGGTCAGCTCTTGGGCACCTTCATTTAGGGCAAGAGGAGGCTGGCCACAGGGAGGGGTGGGGGGTCATTTGGCTTGAGGGGTGCCCAGCGGCTGAGCCTAGAAACGTGCTGCCAACTAACGTGCACCCAATCCCATTTGCAGAAGTGACCTGGTGCCTTGCTCGTCCTGCTAACTTCCTAGTGCTTCTCGGCTGAGGAGCAGGTGCCGATGTCGCTTCTGCAAACGGGGCTTCGTTGCAGCCGCTTGGGTCCAAACTCATCCCACTGCTCCTTTGCTTTCCTCTCTCCCGCTGTTTCCCATTAGTCTCCTCTGTGTTGTTCACCCTGCCTGCTTCTAGCACGCGCCGCCTTGGTGGTTACTTTTCTCCACCTAGCAGAGCGTGGAGACCTGACATAGGTCTGTGGGCTCTAAAATGAGACCATTGAGCAAAAATAATCACCCAGAAATGCCAAGAGATCACATCCGGGGCATGACTAAGGACAATGGAAGTTTTGCAGAAACCGCTTTGCTTAGCAAACTCGAGGGGCTTGCACAGGTAGGATTCACGTCGGAGAAGCATCTGACTTTGTGAAATGGTTAGGGGTCCCCCGGGGCAAAAAGTGCTAAATTGTGCGTTACTCTGCAGAGGGAAGGGGGAGGCAGCAGGAGTGCAAAGCACCGTTGCACAAATGGACAGGGCGCTCGCTTGAGACTTGTATACGTAAAGGCAAAATAAAATCCAGGTCCTTCCCTCCCTTCCAGTGCTGCATCCTACAGAGGGGGTCCCCTTATCCCGGCGGGGCTGGCTGATGGCGGGGTGCAGCCTCCTTGTTGCAGGCCTGAGGATGGTTGTCCCCTCGGGCACCATGAGGCTGAATGCTCAATGCAGAGCACATTATAAACAGTTAAAGCACATAGCGAATTAACGCACGGAGGCAGAACCAAATGGCAAGACAACAAGCCTGAACTGTTTACCAATAAGTTAGGAGACCTGCTTAATTCTTGCTGGGCTTAGAGACGTCCTCGCTTTATCTCAAGGACTGTATAATTAAAAAACCTCCCTTGAATTATATCTTCAAGGCACTCCAGAGCTAATCCTCTGTCTCTGTTTTTGGTTGTTGTTTTTTTTTTTTTTATTATTTCCTCCAGAAACATGTGAGGTACATTGCCGGGGCAAGCGACACGTACAGGGAGCCTGGAAGTTCACCCTCCCCTTCCTCCTTTCCCCCACCCCAGGATGGATCAGAGGAAGAGCTGGCCTCGGACACTGGACTCCGACGGCTGGTCAGTGGCTTTCGTCGTCTTGGTTTTGGTCCTGCTTTCCCGGAGCGTGGCCGGCACTGCCCTCTTCAGCACTTTCCACTCTGAGAACAGAGACTGGACTTTTAACCACCTGACCGTCCACCGGAGCACGGGGGCTGTCTACGTCGGAGCCATCAACCGGGTTTACAAGCTCTCGGGCAACTTGACCATCTTGGTGGCTCACAAGACGGGCCCGGAGGAGGACAACAAATCCTGCTACCCGCCTCTTATCGTGCAGCCGTGCAGCGAGATCCTGACCCTCACCAACAACGTCAACAAGCTGCTGATCATCGACTACTCGGAGAACCGGCTGCTGGCCTGTGGGAGCCTCTACCAGGGCGTCTGCAAGCTGCTGAGGCTGGACGACCTCTTCATCCTGGTGGAGCCATCGCATAAGAAGGAGCACTACCTCTCCAGCGTCAACAAGACCGGCACCATGTACGGGGTGATCGTGCGCTCCGAGGGCGAGGACGGCAAGCTCTTCATTGGCACGGCGGTGGACGGCAAGCAGGATTACTTCCCCACCCTCTCCAGCCGCAAGCTGCCCCGGGACCCGGAGTCATCGGCTATGTTGGATTACGAGCTCCACAGCGACTTTGTCTCCTCGCTCATCAAGATCCCCTCCGACACGCTGGCCCTCGTCTCGCACTTCGACATCTTCTACGTCTACGGCTTTGCCAGCGGCAACTTCGTCTACTTCCTGACTGTCCAGCCCGAGACCCCCGAGGGCGTCTCCATCAACTCGGCCAACGACCTCTTCTACACGTCCCGTATTGTCCGCCTCTGCAAGGACGACCCCAAGTTCCACTCCTACGTCTCTCTGCCCTTTGGCTGCGTCAAGGGGGACGTGGAGTACCGTCTCCTGCAAGCCGCGTACCTCTCCAAGCCGGGCGATGTGCTGGCCAAGGCCCTCAACATCGCCGCCCAGGAGGATGTCCTCTTTGCCATCTTCTCCAAGGGGCAAAAGCAGTACCACCAGCCCCCCGACGACTCGGCTCTGTGCATCTTCCCCATCCGAACCATCAACACCCAGATCAAGGAGCGCCTGCAGTCCTGCTACCAGGGGGAAGGCAACCTGGAACTCAACTGGCTGCTGGGGAAGGATGTCCAGTGCACCAAAGCAGTAAGGAAGCAGCCCTTTGCCATGGTTGTGTTGGAGAAATGCAGCCCTTTTGTGCAGGGAATTAATCCTGGCACTGCTGGGGTGTGGAAGGAGCGGGCCTGGGGGTGGGACGCACCAGGCTGGGATTCAGTAGATCGGGCTTGCCATTCTCAGCCTTGCAACCAGCTCCCTTCATGAGCCTGGGGATGTTGCTTGATCTTTGTTCTTCAAAGATGAAACGGGGATGATAATGCTTTCCTACCTTCACCCTTCATGTTATGAGCTCTTCGGTTATTATGGTGCTGGGGACCATACATCTCTAGTTAGAGAGATAAAAGGGCACAGCTTGTTAGAAGCGCTCTGCTGTCTCCAGCTCCCGGTTCTGGCTCCAAACATCAGACTAACCTCAGGGAAGCCTCCCGCCCCATCCCACAGCAGGAGACAGAGTACAAACGTGCTGTCAAGACAAATGCAAATGACAATGGTGCCTTGTGCTGGTATTTAGCTGGTTTCTTAAATCTTGATTCATATATCGATTCCTTTGGGGATCGCGTGGAAATCCCCGAAGGTCCCTTCCACGGCTGTGAACTCTGCTCAGCTCCCTGGGACTAAGGGCTCATGGGGGTTAAATGGGGAAAGAGAGGATGGGGCCAGGGTAGGACCCAGGAGGATCATGGGACAGAAAGCTAAATTATCTCCAGCCAGGAGTGACTCAAAGGCATCTGGCTATTTTATTCCAAGTTCATCAACCCCACTCCCTGTTGAACGGGGAGGTAGCTACAACACACTAATTAGCATCTCTTCTTGATTGGGCAGTCTCAAGCTGAACTGCAAAGCAGGGTGGGTTTGGCATCCTGACCCCCTTCTTGCAGTGGGGAAACTGAGTCGCAGTGAGGTGAAGTGACTTGTGCAAAGCTGCGCAGTAAGTCAGTGGCAGAGATAGGAGCAGCCCCCTGGCTTCCTGGTCTTCCGTCCATTGCCCTGTCTGCTGGACCAGG